ATTTGTTAATTTAAATGAAAAGCAAACATATTTATTTAAATCAGTAGATGAGAATAATATTTGCATTTCATAATTTGTAATTTGTAACTCTAAACTAAACGGGTTAAAATATGGTTAACTAACTTAAAATAACACATTTTTGCGCAAGTTAACTTTGCGTTTTGAGTGTAATCTAATATTTCTCTCTCTCTCTCTCTCTAAAGAGAGAGTGAGGGAAAGCAAGAAAGAGAGAGCGAGAGATACTACCAGAAATGGTCTCTAGGATCGCAAAATTTCCGTTAACATGCGTTACCGTAGCTTTAAATTTCGTGGTCACTACTTTCGCGTCTAAAAAATATATACAGGGCGTTAGTAAATAAGTGCGACAAATTTCAGGGGGTGATTCTACATGAGAAAATAATGGCAGTTTGCTTATAAACGTATGTCCGCAATTGATTCGTTTTCCGAGATACGGGGTGTCAAAGTTTTTCTTAAAAACTGACGATTTAATTTATTGCTCTGAAACCGGTCGAGATGTGCAAATGAAATTTGGTGGGTTTTAAGAGGTAGTTATTGCGCATTTTTTGACACGCAATTAAGAATTTTATGTTCATCATTGGCGCGCGTACGGGTAATAATCTCAATTTTTTTAAAGAAAAAAATGGTACGCCACTGAGATATTACAAATTAAAAATCATTTTTGAATTCCTCGTTCAATTTGTGACAAAAAATCTCTCTTGCCTTTTCTTCGTATGGGGCGCCGTTTTGATGCAAAAAAATAAAACATCTTAACGCGTATTTTTTATTTCTTTAATACATTACCTAGTAGGCTACTGTCAACATTTGTCTGTTAAATACGAATATTTTTAAGAAATGTCAAATTAGCGTTTCGTCATTATTAATTTATTAAGCTTTTAGTTTGCTCTAACATTAGTGTTAATAATTAATTTTTCTTTTATCGAAGAGAATGGAAAATTTTACAAATGCGGAATTGTCAGACATGCATTTTAATTTTGTAATATCTCAGTGGCGTACCATTCTTTTCTTTAAAAAAAATTAAGTTTATTATCCGTACGCGCGCCAATGATGAACATAAAATTCTTAATTGCATGTCAAAAAATGCGCAATAACTACCTCTTAAAACTCATCAAATTTCATTTGCACATCTCTACCGGTTTCAGAGCAATAAGTTAAATTGTCAGTTTTTAAGAAAAACTTTGACACCCCGTATCTCGGAAAACGAATCATTTGCGGACATACGTTTATAAGCAAACTGCCATTATATTATTTTCTCATGTACAATCATCCCCTGAAATTTGTCGCACTTATTTACTAACACCCTGTATAATTAATTCTAAATAATAAATACATATATTTTATTTACAGTGACAACATAGAGATGCACGAAACTAAGAAAATTAGGTTTAATCAATGTAGTGCAGAAGTGCCATTGAAGGTAAAGAAAACAAAAAAGAAATAAAATGTATATATTATAATATATAATAAAATTATTTTAAAAAGTAAACATAATTTATTTTTCCTGGTTAAGGCTGGATGAATATGCATCAAAACTACTATTAAATGTACTAAACTAAAAAGTCACACCAATAACAACCCTATCACCAGTCTTCCATTCGACACCAATCTATAGGGTATCTCAAATTCAATGCCCCAGGACTGCTATTGGTTAATAAAATAGGCTTGCCTTTCACTTCACTTCACTTGCCTTCACTGGTTATTGCTACCGCTTACCGCTTACTAATTTTCCATTTGCTTGCTTGACCGTATTATCGTTATCTAACCACCGACCTGAGCGTAACATTACCGATATTTAACCGCCGACCTGAGTGTAAATGATTCCGAATAATTCCGTATAATTTTGGTTTATTTTCAGAATCAGCGGGGACCGACAAAAACATCTACAAATATTTTACTTCTTTATCAGACCGTTTAAAATCACTTTTTTTTACTTAAAACCGTCTACTATTGTAGAGTAACAAATGTTTCATTTTTGATTTCGTTCATAAACATTTATTTCATTTCGAAGGTGATAAGTAAAAATTGTAGAAACCGAAATTTACAATTTTTAGTTTTGTCTCTAACACCGTTATTGTATATAATTATTGTTTAATTATCTTGTAAATATTTTCAGTCATTTCGTAGTGGGTAGAAATTAAGATTGACACGATTTGTATTTGTACAAAGTATTAATATTTTCCTCGTGAATAAATCCAGTAAAAATTAATAGGTGTATTTCTTTCAACACCGAGGTAAATTGATAACATTCCGAACCAGCAAAAACGCCGAATGTTTGATATTAAGTTCATAGTGACATCCAAAACATTAGTTACTCAATATTCACCAAGAGATCGTAATTTTAATTTAATAAACTAGTTATGACTAAATTAACTACATTCGCCTAACTTTAAAATACTACTGATTATTTTGACTTCCTCAAATACCAACAAAATTTATGTCTTTAAGACTTAAATAAGACAACTGCTCTTATCTTTAATGTAGAACTCTAAAATTTTATATTTTAGAATTTTTAGAATTTTATAGAATTTTCTAGAATTTTATATTTTAAACAATGTAAAATTTTCTACTTTAAATTTTCTAATTATTTTAAACAGTATAAAATTTTCTGGTAAGCTCTGGTGAGAGAAAATGGAAGAAACAAAATTCAATTAGCACGTGGTTACACATCATCGATGGTTTTTACAAAAAAAAACAATAAAATTCTAATAGTTAACTAGGCTGGACTTTGCTGGATCAAATCTAGAGAAACTAAAATTTAACATTTAAATAATTACCTATTGTAGATTCTTGTTCACTTAGTGATTAAATTTAATTAAAATATTTGATTTTATTGTAATCACACGCGAGCTGTTAGTTTGTACCAGCACAAAATCAAAAAGGTTTTAATTCGCTCCGCCAGTCGTTTTATTGACTCGATTCTACAAAAAACTACTCTATCAATGTGATTGGTCGGTTGAACACACCAAGAACTGCAAGTCATTCCAGACGAGCAGTTCGCCTTCCAACCCAATCACTCCACTGAACTCCAAATCCTTCGCCTTACCGAGCACTTCACGGTGGCCTTCAACAGGGGACAGTACACTGGTGCTGTCTTCCTGGACGTCGCAAAGGCCTTCGATACGGTTTTGCATGAAAGCCTACTGATGAAAATGCTCACCAACCAATATCCCATATCCTTTACCAAACTCATAAAATCCTACATACACCACCGAAAATTCCGCATCCAAATCCAAGATTCCCTTTCCACCACCCTTCCTATGGAGGCCGGTGTCCCCCAGGGCACCGTCCTGTCCCCACACCTATACACCATTTACAACTCCGACATCCCACATCCCCCCAACACCAACATATACTTATACGCCGACGACCTGACAATCACATCCCAATCCGTAGATCCTAGATATTCCGTCTCCCTCCTCCAAAACTCCTTAGACCAACTTGAAACCTGGTGCAACAGGTGGAAAGTCAAAATTAATCCCAACAAAAGTTCGGCTATCCTTTTTACCAAACGAAAAATCCCACAAAACCTCGACAGACTGACACTATCCCAGGAACCCATCTCCTGGAATCGACAAACACGATACCTGGGCGTGACGATGGACCAGCGTCTCACGTGGAAACCGCACATCGTGGAGACGGTGGCGCGAGCGAAGACCACCAGGGCTAGGCTCTATCCCTTACTCAAAGGTGGAAACACCCTCAGTTTAAGGAATAAGCGAACGCTTATCAAGGTGGTACTTCAACCGCAGCTAACCTACGCCTCCACGGCGTGGGGTCACGCGGCAAAAAGCCACTTAAAGTCATTACAGGCTGTGGAAAACATAGCCCTCCGCACGGCCACCGACGCGCCCTGGTACGTAAGAAACACTGACATATTACGAGACTTACAATACACAAACGCTACACAGACAATAAGACAAAACGCGGAGAAACGATTTGACGTAGCCGCTAGACATGACAATCCCCTCCTCAGGCAAGCCGTTGACTACGTACCCGACGTGACCGACAAACACAAAAGACCTAGACACCAACTTTTTGACCCTGGGTGACCACCCCAATGACCCCCCCCCTGCCCGCTAACCTTTTCTGTTTCAGAGACAGCCAGGATCAAGAAACGAAGACAACGACACACACACACACACACACACACCCCCCATACCCTCCTTAACCCTCCCCTCCCGCGCTAGCCTAAGGGCCACCTTAGCAAAGCGCATCCCAGGCTGCATAGCCGCACTACCCTACCCAACCATACCACACATAAACATGACACTACCCCCGGGGTTTACACAGACGAGCCGGCGAAGCAAGAAGAGCGCCAGAAGAAAGGGCCCTAGCCGGCGGGGCCCAGCCAGGACAAAAGGAGGTCCCACAAAGCGCCTACACCGGCCGCATTTGCGGTCGGGGTAGACGACGGATGGGGCCCACCTACGAAGGCTGTCCAGGCCTACACGAGATGAGGCAGGATAAAGAGGGATAATCCCCCTCGATCCCAAATCATTGAGGCCAATTTCTAGCCATAGAATAATGGCGCGGTTCCGAACCGTTTGAAATGTTTGGCCAACTAAGTTCTAGATGTGTCTTCGGTGATTATATCGCAAGAATTAGTTGGATGCACATTTCGAACGGTTCGGAACCAATTCCTGACTCCTGTTGGATCAGACCTTATGTATGTTTAAAAGAAAACTGGCCGGCACGCCTCTGTCGCTGGCGCTAGTAAATTGCAGTAAACGCTCCAAAAAAATACCTCTTCTTTTGTCGCTGAGGAACAGTTAGCTCCAGTGACAACTGCGTAAAAGCGCAATAACAAACAATACACACCAATCAAAACTGACTTTGTTTTCGTTACAATGAATATTGTAAAACTAAAAAGGTTATTTTGATTTCTCTATGATTTCATGACATACAGCGCCACCTCTTGATTTCATTTTCAATTGAATCCGTTGAAAAATGAAAACGGCTTTTAATCAGGCCAGCTGATTGTTACCAGTCTGTCAGTTGTTTTAACAGAAGTTTATTTTTATCAACAAAAACTTTAGTTTGTGAAAGTCGACTGTTCTTTAAACCTTCACTTTAAAAACTAGTTTCACATAACGTTTTAGTTATAACCAACATGTGTATTTTTTAAGTAATCTATTAATTGTGCGGGTTATATTTATATAAATTTTTGTGAAAATGTCTCAAACTTTTAGTAAAATAATTCCAGTTACTTCAAGTATTCCCACTAGTTGTATGGATTATGTTCATCCTTGGACAGATAGTTGTCTGCAAGCAATTTGTGGTTTATATCTTTATTGCATGTTCGATTCCTTGAGGGTATATGGAACTGTATATGTGGTTTGTATTTACATATATGTTTTAAGATTTTCTAAGTTACTTAACTATGAACCTTGAACCCTGTTCAGATTATATGTATGAACTTAAGTCCTTAAAACTTTATCTTGACTTGTTTTGGTGATAGGTTGTCTATGAAATTTAGTGTTTTATCAAAGAATAATTTAAAAAATGTAGAAAATCGTATTTGTCACGAATTAGGAATATATTACAATTAGAAAAATTAAATTACCTACCTAGGTGGAGACCTTAGATTAAATTGAAAAATATTATTAATTTATCTCAGCTCACCGAAATTAACCATTTCCTATTTTTGTGAATTGATTAGACGACAAATTCAGATTTTTAAGTATGCAATGAATTAATTTTTATCTTCTAGAGCTGAGGTATTAATATTTTTTAATAGTATGTAAAACCGCCCCCCACCCCCTAAATTTTACGAGTTCATGGAATTTTTATGTTAAAATAGAGGGTAATCCGAGGGGTAATCCCGATTTTTTAAGTAAAAAATGAATCGAATCTAATTTTCTTCACCAGAGGTAGGTATTTGTATTTTCTAATAGGGGGAGGGCAAAACCACCCACAAATCCAAGAAATTAGTGTTTGTTGGATTAAAAGACAATCCTGATTTTTAATTAAAAAACTAACCTGTTCGTATTTTTTTAAGCCGATAAATTATTTTTTAATAGGGGTTGGTAAAACACCCTCCCCCGATTTTGCTGATCTATAAAACTAGGAAAAATTACCCGATTCGATTAATATTTTTCAATGGAGACTGTTAAAACTGTCTTCCTAGATGTACCTGAAGTTCTGAATGTTTGTTTGAACGAAAATGAAAACCCATAATATCACGTTTAATCGTACAAATATTGATTTTACCAACTAAATTCTGACTTCTGTAAATGAAAACAATATTTCCCCATCATAACCCCATATTAACCACCCTTAAAACTTAGTTACATGTATTTTAGAAAATTAGCCCCGTACCACCCTATATTTGACATAGGTTGTTAACATTACTTTTATATTGATTTTTAAGCAACATTCGGACCTTTTGTCACTATCGGAAGACACCCTGTCAACAACCCTTAAAACTGTCATTACTTATATCTCCAATCAAGCTTAAAAAGCCACGTTAAATTTGATTTAAAAAGTTTATGTTTCATTTATATCCATTTACAAAAACTATTGCCGCCCTTTGTTGCCACCTGAAACTACCCTTGGAAAGGTCAAGTATTCTGTTCCAAATATCAAGTGTGCTATCACATTAAATCTGTCTTAAAATGTTACGATAACTTCTATATTGACTTATAAATGCTATTACTGCCCTTCGTTGCCATCAGAACCCACCTCGTCAAGTACCCTTAAACAGGTAATATCTTATATCCCTTGTATAATCCTGAAAGCCATAATAAATTTTAAGTAAATTGTTAAAATTATATTTGTATTGACATAACAACTATCAACACCAATTGTTGCCACCGGAATCCACCCCATCAACAACCCTTAAATCAGTTGTTTATTATTTCCCCGTTATCAAGCTTAAAGCCATAATAGATTTTAAGTAAATTGTTAAAATTATATTTATATTGACTTATGACAACTATTAATACCCTTTGTTGCCACCGGAATCCATCCCATCAACTACCCTTAAATCAGTTGTGCATTATACAGGGTGTCCGGTAAGTACCTCCTAATCTCTCGGGAGTGTATAGGGGAGGTCAAAATAAAACTAGTCCTTCCTATAATTTTTTTTCCTATTGTGCCCCCTAACGGAGTTATGGGGGGTCAAAGGGGTACCTAGAAATTAACATTTAGGGTTATAACTTTGAAACCACCCTGTATATTTTAATAAAATTTTCGTACGTTGTATTACACATGGAGCTCTACGATTTGATGCTAAAATCAACTTTTTGCTATTATCAGGTGTCCAGAAACGGACTGGCCCTATCACAATTTTTCTCAAAATTTTGACAGAAGTAATTTTATCAAACTGAAAATATTATTATTAGATACTCTGAAGGTTTTTCTTTAAAAATGGTACTCTTTATTTATTTCGAAAAAATGAACGGTTTGCGAGATAAATCGGTTTTGAAAAAAATTGGTAACAAATACAACAACAATTAAAATTTATTTTTTTACAATAAAATCATTCCCGCTAGTGCCAGCCTACAGATTCACCATAAACATTTACTGGTGGTGAATTAAGGGAATGAATAATGCCGTTTCTTGTAAAATCAACATCTATGACCAAAATACATCTACAAATTATTATTGCTCTTGTCTCCATGGAGTTCTTTTCTATTGTTTTCGTTGTTAGACCCTGTTGATTTTAAAGTACTTGTCAAAGGCGCGTGACAGAATAAAAATTCAATTTTATTGTGGTATTCGTTTTAAGCCGTTAGAAATAACATTTAAAAATGGAAGAATATTCCTGTGCAGAATATGCTGATATGCACCTAATTTATGGGGAAGCATTATGCAACTCCGTGGAGGCAAGAAGACTTTATGAGGAAAGGTTTCCGGGTCGACATTTGCCGAGTCCAAAAACTTTTGAAAGAGTTGATCGTAGTTTAAGAGAAACAGGTAAAAAAAAATAGTGAAAAACGTTAGTGAAACTAATTTCTTCCGAATCCTTTATTTAGGAAGCTTTTTGCCACGCCGTGGTGGAGCAGGAGCCCCGAGGAGAGTACGAGACCCTCATGTAGAGGAACAAATATTGGAAGACGTTGCTAATAATCCTTCAAATAGCATAAGGAAGCTTGCGGCGCAAAACAATGTTACAAAATGGGCTGTACATGAAACTCTGAAAGAACAATTGCTTTACCCGTACCACATCCAAAAAGTACATGCTATGTCTCCAGATGATTATCCAAAAAGACTTCAATACGCCAATTGGTTTTTACAGCATCATATTCGGAATCATAATTTTGGTACATCTATTTTGTTCACCGATGAAGCAGGTTTTACAAGAGACGGCATAATTAATTCGCATAATCTACATGTCTGGGATGAAGAAAACCCTCACGCTTTAGTTCAAACTCGCTACCAACAAAGGTTTATGGTGAATGTGTGGGCTGGCATTATCGGGAATCATTTGATTGGTCCATTTATTCTGGAGCAAAGACTTAATGGTGCTCTTTATTTGCAATTTTTAGAGGAAAATCTAAATATTTTGTTAGAAGAAGTGCCCCTTCAAATAAGAACTGAAATGTGGTACATGCATGACGGTGCACCACCCCACTTTGATCGTTTAGTACGTCAACATCTGACGAATGTTTTTGGTGATCGATGGATAGGTCGAGGCGGACCTGTATTATGGCCACCTAGGTCGCCCGACCTAAACCCATTAGACTTTTTTCTGTGGGGTCATTTAAAAAATAACGTTTATTCAACACCCGTAAATAGTAGAGAGGAACTTCTGCTGAGGCTAACACAGAACTGTGACCATCTCCGCAATAATCACGGAATATTATTTCAAGTGCACCGGGAAAACATTCGTAGGATTAGAAAGTGCATTGAAGTACGGGGTGCTCATTTTGAACATCTACCGAAGTAACATTTAGGTACCTTTGTTCATTGTTGAATGTTCTTTGTTGCATGTCTTGTAAGTAAGTTATTTTTCAAATGTTATTTTTAATTGGTCACTACTTGCTCATAAAGTATAGCCAACCCGTTCAAAGATTTCTGGACTTGATAAAGTTAAAGAAATTAAATGCATGAAATAATATGTAAAAAAAATAAATTTTAATTGTTGTTGTATTTGTTACCAATTTTTTTCAAAACCGATTTATCTCGCAAACCGTTCATTTTTTCGAAATAAATAAAGAGTACCATTTTTAAAGAAAAACCTTCAGAGTATCTAATAATAATATTTTCAGTTTGATAAAATTACTTCTGTCAAAATTTTGAGAAAAATTGTGATAGGGCCAGTCCGTTTCTGGACACCTGATAATAGCAAAAAGTTGATTTTAGCATCAAATCGTAGAGCTCCATGTGTAATACAACGTACGAAAATTTTATTAAAATATACAGGGTGGTTTCAAAGTTATAACCCTAAACGTTAATTTCTAGGTACCCCTTTGACCCCCCATAACTCCGTTAGGGGGCACATTAGGAAAAAAAATTATAGGAAGGACTAGTTTTATTTTGACCTCCCCTATACACTCCCGAGAGATTAGGAGGTACTTACCGGACACCCTGTATATGTTGTATAGTTATTATAAAACAGTATAAGTTAATTCACTTAAAATCTGCTATGGTTTTAAACTTGATATCGTGTACGTAATACACAACTGATTTAGGGGTAGTTGATGGGGTGGATTCCGGTGGCAGTAAAGTGTATCAATAGTTGTTATAAGTCAATATAAATATAATTTTAACAATTCACTTAAAATCCATTATTGCCACTGGAATCCACCCCATCAATAACCCTTAAATCAATTAATTATTTATTATTAGCCCGTTATCAAGCTTAAAGCCATAATAGATTTTAAATAAATTGTTAAAATTGTATTTATATTGACTTATGACAATTATTAATACCCTTTGTTGCCACCGGAATCCACCCCGTCAACAACCCTTAAATCAGTTGTTTATTAGTTCCTCGTTATCGAGCTTATGGTAGCTTATAATAGATTTTAAGTAAATTGTTAAAATTATATTTATATTGACTTATAACAACTATTGATACACTTTGTTGTCACCGGAATCCACCCCGTCAACTACCCTTAAATCAGTTGTTTATTATCTCTTCGATATCAAGCTTAAAGCCATAATGGATTTTAAGTAAATTGTTAAAATTATAATTATATTGACTTATAACAACTATTGATGCACTTTACTGCCACCGCAATCCACCCCGTCAACAACCCTTAAATCATGCAGTTGTGTATTATTTCTCCGGTATCAAGTTTAAAGCCATAACAGATTTTAAGTAAATTGTTAAAATTATATTTATATTGACTTACAACAACTATCAACACCAATTGTTGCCACCGGAA